TGTCTTGGTCTCGACTCCATTTGGTCTCGGTCTTGTCTTGGTCTCGGACATAGCGGTCTCGATGGGATGGGGAAAAAGAGAAAACAGCACATCCTCACAGAACAGTATTATTATTACGCGCCTCAATTCAAATGCAATCAGTCAGATGCATCTATTTTAAAAACGTTACATTTTATACAATTTCTCAACGGACACTGCCAGTGCTTCACAGTCCACACACATCATACACATCGCATCATAGCGAAGTCGGCAAATAAATGTCCAAAAATGTCCGCTGAGTCTATAGCATAGTTATAATTCAAATAAATTAGGTATTTTACATTGATTAGAAAGCACGGTCATGGAGGTGCAAGTCAATCTGGAGGCTCATTCTCTTCAACTCAAAGCAAAGGATCATTACATAGCCGTATTCATAGCTTACCCGAGGCCTCTGTCCCTGGTATAAGAGACTTAATATGAACATCTTTCTGGTACATCCCATCTCTTTCCCTTGACGAGGTCTGATAAAATGGTTATAGGAGAGGATTGCTGAGAATATTATTTTCAATCAGGCCTCGTAACTATGACAAATCCGGGAGATTTTAAATGAGACATATGGACATATGGACAATATAATTGAAAAGATAACATGAATTTGATTTAACAAGTAATGACAGTTACAGCAATGCCTTTTTTCTCTACAGTTGATCTGAGTAATGTGATGTCGATTCTAGCGCTAGTCTGTTTTTGATCTTGGTCTTGGTCTCGGACTTGGTCTTTGTACCCTCAAGTCTCGGCAGTGTCTTGGTCTTGATAGTCTCGGTTTAGGCGGTCTTGACTACAACACTAGCCGCATATCCGACTGACATATACACACCTCAACAATCGGCACACGCAGACCTATCCACACGCGGCCGTGATCAAGGAAAAACTGCATCTGTAACTTCTTTGTTGGACTACCGTCAACACACTAACTGATGGGGATTTCCACTCTTTAACTGACTCCTACATTTCTGTGTATTCGTTCGTGGTGTTATAGGGTTGTTCTTCTATTGTTATTCAGTAGTTATTTGTTGTTCAGGGTTTTCTCCATGTTAATGCGCGGTTGTGATTCTTATTTAATCCGTTCAGAGAAGAATAATCAATAATAAGATAGTTCATTGCATTAAAAAAAAAAAAAGCTGCTAAATCTAAATTTTAATTGTCCACTCGAGTCATTTAGCATTATCTTGCTACTGATGGCTGGATGTTGTTGAAAAGATCAATGTACGTCAAACAATTAACATTACATTTTTGCGTCTATTCTGCTGCGTCTACCACTGTTGTGTGCAGCTCAGCTGCTTGCTCTGTGGTCTCTGCCATTGCTGTGTGCTGCTTGACGGGCTGTGTTCATGGCTGGTGTTCGTGCTACTGAGTGCCTCATTTTTGGATGGACTCACATTTCTCTCTTGGGTACATCATGCTGGGCTATGAGTAGCGATTAATATCTTTGCTTCTCTATGCTTTTGATGGATTCTGCTGTTTTCTCTAACTTATTCTATGTTGGGCCTTGGTTAATTGGTAACCTGTTGCTGCAATTATCTTTGCTACATAATTATTCATTTGAATTAATCTATTATGGCTCACTCTAAAGTGATTTATGACATGACCACATTTATGGTCATCTTAACATTACCACCATTCGTTAAGTTTGATAATGCCTACTGTAAACTCATAAGTCTGCCTTGCTCTATAACTTGTGTTTGTTAGTATAACAGAGACTATATTTGTTTAATAGTCTCTAGGACTCTAGGTATTGCCATAAATACTCATTCTTTTAGGTGGTCTTTTATATTATTCAATATTGTGAAACAACTTTTTTAGCTGAGCATTACTGTCATACTGTCATGCCCTGTGTCACACCCCGATCGTGCCGATCCTCCTGTGCTACAGTACATCCCCCTCATTAACATCATGTGGATTCCCAGTGTTTCACAGCCGTTTCGAGTTGTCCTTATTAGTTCGGTGTATTTAAGTCCACGTCAGAGTTTGTTTCCCTAGTTCTGTCATTGTAGTGTTGTTCATTGTCACGCTGTCTGTTCCTTATGCCCCTTCGGTTTCCCATTAAATCCCTTTATTTTACCCCAGTCCTTATCTCCCTTGCCCGTTTCCCTGGTCCGTCCACCGCAACATATGACACCCTGCCTATCTATTCCTCTTGTTTCTCACTAGCTTGGCTCAACTACATTTGTCTTACCTCTCATTTCTGCCCTTGTATAATGCACTCCAGCTGCCTCTTGTTCTGCTCCCTTGTTAATCTTTGTATTAAGGTACTTCCCACTCCTGTGTTCCCCAGTCCTGATATTAAAGTTGTTGCTCCTGTGTGATCTGGTTCTTGTTTGCTCTTCCTTATTGTTTGATCCCATGAGATCTTGTTTGTTTCTAATCTGTTCCTAATGAATAAAACCCTGTTTTGTTTGCCTCAATTAACGCTCTTGCGTCCTTCATCCGACTTGTCACAACAGAATGTCAGGACTCAGCAAGCCACTAATTGACTATTACCAAGAACCTCACTGTCATGCCTGGCCCAGGCGAGATCTCAGCAGCTTTCCACTAATATTCACTAATATTCAGCCTAGGGGAGGCTGCTACTTTTTCTGGCCCAGGAGAGGCCGCTGATGTGCTACAAACTCCCAGCTCTGAAAGCGCTGCTTTACCCGTGCTCAAAGTTCCTCTGCTCTGTTTTGCCTCCCATTGTCCTGACTCAGCCCTGTTTTGCCTCCCATTGTCCCAGCTCTGCCCCATCTGCCTTCAGACACCCTACCTCCGCCCCGCTCGTGATCTGGCCGTGTCCCCAGATATCCAGCAAGCACTTGCTTCACTGTTCCCTGAGGTCCTACCAGCACTCGCCTCATCCCTCGATGTTCCGCTGGATCCCATCTCATCCCTTGAGGTCCCACTGGATCCTCTCACTATCCCCAGATGTCTAGCCGATGCCTGCTTCTTCATTCACGTGTGTCCGGCCAGTGCCCACCTTGTGGTCCCCTGAGGTCCCGTCAGCATCTGCCTTGTTGTCCCCTGAGGTCCCGACAGCATCTGCCTTGTCATCCCCCCACCTCTACTTTTTACAGAAGCTGCGAAAAACCCATCTTCCATCACCCATCCTCACAATTTTACGCTATTGAGAGCATTCCTGAGCAGCTGCATGACTGGCTGATTTGGGATCTGCAATGTGATAGTACAGACAACTAAGATGATCAGAGTCTCTCCCCTCCATCATGGACATTCACACCACATGCTGCATCAGCGAAGCTACCAACATTGTGGATGACCCCAGCCACCACATCTTTTCACCCTCCCAGCATCTAGGAAAAGGTACTGGAACATTCAGGCCTTCACAACTAGACTCAAACAGTTTCTTCCCCCATGCCTATGAGCTAAAAATGCCTACGCGTTTCAGCCAAAGTGGCCTTCATCAAAAGATGATGCATAGGCATTTTTAGCTCATAGCCATGTGATAATAAAGGCTTTTTATATATTCAGTGCCTTGGATTTTTGTCATTTTGCTAATTTAAGGATGCCTGATCTGAAGAGCACCAGACGAATTTTCAATTTTTAATTTTTACACCCAAGAAGCACTCCTAGCAAGGCATTTGTGGAACCCTAGGGCAGTATTGTTGTCTTGTTTCACATGCATTCAGTTTGCTGAAAAAGGAGCTGTTTAGAGTAAAGCGTTTGCCTTGTTACAAGCAATTTTCAATTAATAAAATTAAAATTACCTGGCTTTGCCGTTTTGTTTAACATTATAAATGTTAGAAATGATATCTAAAGGACGATGGTCACAACACATTGTGATGACACTCTTTACATGTCATTGTGTAACCAATTTTCAGGAAGCAGAGACAGAAAATCCCAGGAGCAATTGGGGGGTTCTTTCTGAGCATAGAGACAGTGACCTAACTCACTGAACAACACACCTCCCTAGTGATGTAGAGTATTACATTTGTCCTTAGAAGGTATATAATAATTCATCAAATGTGAATTGCATCCTGTGTGATATAAAAGAGCTTCATTAAGGAAAACAGGCCCCTGTCAAAAAATGGCAAACTTATTTTCAGTTATCAAGTATAATTGTTTATTTTTATGCTTACATTTCCTGCATTATACTTGAGTGACACCACAGAATTTTTTCTTCATGTTAAAGAAATAGATTAAAAATCCTCAAATCAAAGTAACAACATTTTGAGTAACTGAAAATACACATTTTCATTTAATGGCAAATGGCTCAGATGTCATTTCAACTATTCATACATTTTTGAAAGGACAGACAAAAATCACAGACCTTTGTATAACTATTTTCAATGTTTCTACATGAGAGGCTCCAGTCTGGTTTGTTGCCATATGCATTTTGGGATGATGGCTTTACTGGTTAAACTACAATTCAAATAACATTTTACTGAACAAAAGGCAATTAATCCTTATGGAATGCAAAGAAGCACCGATGCATTTTGGGAGCATCTATGTTTATAAATTGATAGTACTTAGGAGTATGAGGCAGTTATGGGGTACAAAGCTGCAGGACATTATAGCAGAATTTAAACAAACAAAAACACCTGAGGTAACAAAATCACAAAACAGCAAGGCTCCTGTATTACAGAAAAGCAAAATGAAGTTATGAAACTCTGAAACCACAGGCAACCAGCAGCTTCTCTACAGTCCCGTTTATTCCAACAACTGACCCTGAAACCCTGTCGGCTATTTGAGATAACACAGGCCTGTTGGGTTTCACTGACTGGCCTGCTCATCTGTTTAGGCCTGGGGAACCATCACCATGGCAACAAGAGATCAACCAAACCTGGGCCTCTCACTGGTAAATAACTGAGTAAATAGATATTAATATTTTAACAACAATGTTGCACTTTTATATTTCGACATGTTTTTCCATAAAACAAGAAACATTACTGCACTACATCACAGTACATATTCCACTACATAATGTTATGCATAATAGCTTAACAATTGTTAGCTGTTGTCCCAACCTCTCAGATTTTCCACCTTCTAACCAAAGTATCTTTGATTTCTTTTGTCTTCAAGCAGTATATCAGAGGGTTCACCATGGGGGGAAAGACGCTGTACAGCATGATCATCAGGATACGGAAATCTGCACTGAAGTTGAGATTTATGGTGTTTGCAATGTAAACAAAACACCGGGGAATGTAATGGAGACATATGATGAAGAGCTGCGGACTGCAGGTGGACAAAATCTTGTATCTTCCATCTGAGGATGCGGTTTTCATTACTGACAAAATGATGGAAATGTAAGAAAATATTATAAAAATAAGTGCAGCCAGCCATACTAAGATGGCAACAGAAAGGTTTATAACTTGAACCTCCTTTGCATTCTCACATGCTAGGCTGGTTACTGAAATATGGTCACAATAACACTGTACAATGACATTAGAGTTACAATAGGGCAAGGAGACTGAGTGAATAAGACTGTTAGTCATCCAGATCAAGGATATGAGCCAGCATATGCCACATAGGATCAGAATGGTGGAATTTTTAATAAGCGCTTGGTATCGGAGGGGGTTGCATATGGCAACATAACGATCAAGAGCCATTATCATCAGCAGCCATGAATTGAAGCCCCCTAATACATGGATAATGAACATCTGTAAGAAACAGGCATTGAAGGAGATGATCTTGTCCTCTGCCAAGTACCGGGCAATGACTTTGGGCAAGGTGGTGGTGGCAAAGATTAGGTCTGACATGGCCAGGTTGCAATACAGGAGATAAGTGGGTTTTTGGAGATTTCTCTCTATGACAATAACAGTAAGAATAAAGCTGTTGCCTCCTACAATGGCCAGATAAACAAACAGTAAAACCACAGATATGAGTCCAAAATAACTGGGCTGAAGTCCTGGAAACCCAAGTATTATGAATTCTGTGACCTTTGTTGCATTGAAGTCTTGGTACGACATGATCAGCTGAAACGTAGTGTCCCCTGAAAACTGTTAAAGGAATTGAAAGGGGGAAAAAAAAACATATCAAAATATGCAAACTTTCATGGTTTAATAATGCAAACACAGTTTTAGCCAATTTTTATAATTGTTAGCATAGTACAAAATAATTGACATAAAAATAAACATAAAATAGTTATTTGTAACTGCAATGATTTTAACTGAATTATTGCCCAAAAGGAAAAAGTCATTAATCCTTATTGTCTGTTAAGATGAAAAAATACAGTATCAACTAAAGGTCTCTGCTCTGGTGAGTCTATGGATTCTGTTTAAATGAATAATTTTAACAAATTATCCTTAATTCTTAATACGTTTTATGAATTTTCATTGTCTATTTATCAATTTGGTATGAAGTGTCCTCTACATAAATACACCATTTACACATGTATAGATTACATTATATAATTTACTCACATACTACAAAAAAAAACTACACACATTAATTTAGTGCAGGTTGAACAAAAGGATACAATCTAGTATTATTAGACCAGACATAAATTTGTGGTTTTAATTTACCATGATCTACACAAACCTCAACCCCATTTGGGTAGGAATCAAACAATGCCCTTACCTGAAAAAACACGGAGGCACTACAGTTATGGACCACACACAAGTGAGTCTGCAAGGCTCTCTGTTTTGTACCTGGTATTTAAATACTTTGTGTTGCATCAAAAAGCATTCCTGTTATCGCCTTACATAATTATTAACACCTCTTAAGGGACATTTCCACCTAAAGGGAAATAGGGCATGCAAGGATTCCCTTAACCGGCATAACCGACTGCCTGCTAGTCGCCTAGAGTCGTCACCTAGGGTTCATTTTATTGAGACTGTGTCTGTTCCCCGCATTTTTAATCATGGAAGCCGATTCCACCGTAGTGTGTGCCATAATAACTTAATAAAAATTACAATGAATCCGTTACTAGAAAACAGCTGTGATGCAGGGCTTAAACTTAAACTTGGACTTCTGAATGTAAGATCACTGGCTCCTAAGGCACTATTAATAAATGAAATGATTACTGATTTTAGTCTTGGTGCCATATGCCTCACGGAGACCTGGCTTAAACCGAATGAATTCATGGCACTAAATGAATCTACTCCAGCTGAATACAGTTATAAGCATAACCCTCGACCAAATCGCAAAGGTGGTGGTGTTGCTGCAATTTTTCAATCCAGCCTAGGAGTGACTGAGAAATGTGGTCTGAGTTTCAGCACATTTGAAACTCTTGTTCTTAGTTCTGCTGGCTCATCTCTTTCTTGCTCTTCACCCAAAATCACCATTGTTATTGTTTATAGACCACCTGGGCCGTACAGTAATTTTCTTAAGGAGTTTGCTGATTTTTTTAACTAACCTGGTGGTCAGTACTGACAAAGCTATTATTGTGGGTGAATTTAACATTCATATGGAGAAAGATAGTGATCCTTTAAAAATAGCGTTTGCAGCTATTCTTGACTCTCTAGGTGTACGTCAGAATGTAGTCGGGCCTACTCATGTCTGTAACCATACCCTTGATTTGATTATTAGTCATGGCATCTTGGTGGAACATGTATCTATTATGCCTCAGAGTCCTCTGCTCTCAGATCATTACTTGTTAACATTTGAAATCCAGTATAGCCTCCCGTTGACCACAGCTCCAAAGTACAGAATCAGACGTTCCATTGCCTCACTAACTACAGCAACATTTATGAAACAACTTCCACAGTCCTTCAGCCTTACATCTGAAGCATCGTCTATAAATGAACTTAAACAGGCGACTGCAAACATGGATAAATCCCTTCGTAGCACACTAGATCTTGTAGCTCCACTTAAGATGATAAAGCATAGAGATAAGAAACCTGCCCCCTGGTACTCTGATCATACACGTGAACTCAAACAGGCATCACGCAAGCTAGAGCGCAAATGGCGCTCAACTAAACTAGAAGTTTTCAAATCTGCATGGAAAGAGAGCCTGTCTAAATACAGACAAACACTAGTGACTGCTAGGTCTGTGTGTCTCTCCAGATTAATAGACGGGAACAAAAACAATTCAAAATTCCTATTTGAATCCGTGGCTAGGTTAACACAGAATTCTCCATTAAACTCGCAAGTCCCACAATCTCTTAAGAGTAATGACTTTATTACATTCTTTAATGGTAAAATAACTAAGATCAGACAGACCATCCAGTGCACGTCCTTAGCTACCTATGACTGCCAGACTCCTGCTAGTCTTATGCCTATCAATAATGAGACTTTTGAATCTTTCATTCCTTTAAAAACACCCAGAACTCCTGAGCTTAATTTCCTCCTGTAAATCCTCTACAAGCCTCATAGACCCAATTCCTACAAAATTCTTCAAGGAAATTGCACCGCAGATTAGCAATACCCTGTTAAATGTGTTATCCAAGCTTAAGAGATGAGTTTATGTTCCAAGACCCGTCCTAAAGAAACCAAATCTTGAACCTAGTGTTTTCGGAAACTATAGACCGATCTCAAATCTTCCTTTCATTTCAAAGATCATGGAAAAGGTTGCAGTTCGTCAGTTGTCTTCTTTCCTACAAAAAAATAATACTAATGAATTATATCAGTCTGGCTTTAGACCAAACCATAGCACAGAAACTGCTCTAGTCAAAGTAATGAA